GGAGCTACTTCACAGTTACATATAGAAGAATGTAATTATGTTCTACAGCAGTTCTTCAATATCCCACACTTACTTCTTTGTGAAGTAGTTCCCACAAACAGCCTTTTGAACTTGCGTAGATTTTAAATCATAAGAAAACAAGACCAAAAAAATAATCAAGGGAATGTCTTCATTAGAGACAGCTTATACATGCTGCTGCATTTTTGTTGCTTATAGCTACTCTTGAAGACAAGTGGCTCCTTTGAAATGTGAACATGGAGTATAGATTAAGTAAGAGGTTTCTGCAAAGAATGTGTCGTGTTTTGGGAAGTTTATGCACTCTTTGTTTGGGTGAGTAAGCAGGGCCTAACCGCGCTTAATGGTTAACTTAGTATTATTGAAATCAGTGCGACTATGCCCCTACGTGGTCCTCTATGCCACTTTTAAAAGCTGTGTGAAACAGCACTTTGTTTTAAGTATTTGCTTTGTTTGATGAAAATCTTGATGGGAGCTGTAGTTTAGGCTGATGCATAATAGTATTTCTATGAGGAAAGCTGCACTGTGTAGAAAAGAAGGACCAAATATGAATTCTTTTTAAAAGCTAGTAAATTAATTTTTTTCCTGAAGTGTTACAACCCCATGTAGCAGTAAGATTATCATCATAGGTGTATTGCAAATGAAATCTGTTTAGACTGCTTAGACTTACGGGGGAAAAAAAGTGTATCAATGGCATGGTTTTAAGATGGTGCCTTTCAAGAGCTGATCAGTTCAGCTCAGTTCAGCAAACAGTACAAAAATTTTAAAAAGGAAAAGGTTAGTTACTAATGCAATTCGATGTTTTCATCACCAATATGAAAAATACATGTTTAAATATACAACAGGCTTTGCCAGATATGCGTGCCTTGTGTAACTACCATCAAAGAAAGGTTTTTATGGGAGCAGGGTGACTCTGAATCCCAGTCCCAGGGGCTATACGTGCTTAAAGGCACTGTTCAAAGAAATCAGTGCAGTGGAATGTGCAGATTTGGAGGACAGGACTTGGCAGCCATTGTGTCCCTGTTAGGTAGTGCTCAAATTCAGACCAGTGAAGCTGTTGCACCAGTTAACTGACTTGGATAGCTCTTTTTAAGCACCTTCCAAGGAATATTTATAACTTTCTGAAAGAGGCTTCCTGACCACGTGAACATCTTGTCAACAGCCTGTTTCTCTTCTCACTGAAACCTTGCCATTTAGTCTCTGTGACCACCCTCACTTCACAGCTGGCATCCACAGTCCCCAATTATTGCCGAACTTGCCAGCCAGAATCAGTGTTCCTTGTCTGAGCCCCAACCCTGACTGAGATTCTCAGTCCAAAGAATCTGTCTTCCTGTTTGTGCAGCTCATCTAGGCTGACATCGGGCTCCTTCAAGGCAAGAAATATGCTTGCTCTGAGAGATGTGCATCAATTCTGGCTATCACTTTGTCTCTTTAATGTCACAGAAGTTCAAATATGAGGCTGCTTTCATGCAATCAAGGCTGCTAGAACATTTTCATAACAGAGTTGTATCAAAACGTCTATTTGCTCCATGAAAAATTGAAGAGACTGGTGCACTCTTGCTTTCCAGTCACAAGTGACTACAAGGCCCTGAGACTAAAAAAAAGTTTCTCAAAAAAAGCTTGGATAAACCTGACACATCAGCAAAAGGTAACCCTTTGCATATTACAATGATTCCCAGGAGTCCCAAAGTGCTTGTTGTACACTAATGAATTCTGCCTTACAACATCAGAGTGTACCAGAATAAACATTACCTATACTTGTCTGATAGAAATGTACTTAAGTTCTGAACTGGATTCATATTTCAGAGGTCTCCAAGTTCAAGAGTTTCTATCACCAGGTCTGTATTTCAAGTTGATCTCTTTTCTTTGTAAGGTTATGCTATTTTCATCATTAATATCCCCTTTTCCTGAAAAGTGTACATCTTCATAGTGTAACCCAGCATTTCTGTTGTACATTTTCATTAGCTGGCTGCATTTTCTATTTACTAGTAAATGGATTTCTAAGTTATTGCAGATTTTTTATTGATGACATTTCAGATTTTCTCGCCTCTTCCATGGCAGCTGTAAACATCTTAATTGTTTCAGTTTTCACCTGTTCTGAAGCACAGGCAAAATGACCTCCATTTTAGTGGTTTTTATCTTGAGTAATTGTAATTGTCTTTGTAATTTCTGAAGATTCAAGGGAGTTGGGAAATATATTTGTGTTAGACACAAGGCTATTTATTATTAAAGGAATCTCTAGCACAACAATATTGTAACTGATTAAACAGCATTGTTTGTCTCAGCAAGAATTAGCGTCTATAATTATAGGTATAGGTATCCTTCATTTTTATCTGCCATTCCTACTTCAACACACTTCTGCCAAATGCAGTATAGTAGTTGGAAAAAATTGTGTATGTGCTTACCTCTACCTATTGGCAATGAAACAGATGTACAGGATCAGAACCTAGGATTATGACCTAATCAAAATGGTCTGCAAGAAAATATAAATGAGGTATTCTTGGTGTAGCCATGTGTTTGCAGCATTGCTTTCAGCAATGGCTCAACCTTACGGTTTTGGGGGGTTCTGTCTGGAATAATCTAGGTCAACTACATTTTGTAGGGAAAAAAAAAGGGAGGAAAAGCTTGAATATCAGTGCTATTCTGTCTGAAATTTTGTCTTGTAGAATGTTTGAGCAATGCGTTTGAGGTAAAGATACGTTCATTCAATTTTTGTTACTGGCTGGTTGGTGTATGTATGTTCACCTTCACTGAACTTGGATCAAGAGATGGAGAAGCCTGGACTCTTTCTGTCATGAGTTCAGCTTGAGGCTTGAGTCACCAAAAAGCTGGCTAGATATCTGTGATGCATATTTAGTATTGCTGAAGTGAAAACAGCTAATCAGTTAAACAGTTCAAAGCAGATATTTTGCTACCGGGTATTATTAATCACAACTGACATGTCTCGTAGAGTTGTGCATTTTTCTATTTAAGAAGCTCTCTATCCAAATGCATTTCATCCAGTTAGCTGCATGCTTTGTTTGGTTCCTTTGGGCATCGTAGTTGTATATTTTAGTTGTAAATGTCTCAACAGTTGAACAGATTAGACCTGTGCTTGGGGAGCCCTGCCCAGTCAGTTTACAGATTTAGAATTAATGTTTTCCTACAAATTTCAAAGGTGGTACTTGTGCATCTCAGTAATTCCCTGTACAGCAAGCTGGTCATTTCTTTCCATATATGAGCTTTGGTTTTAGAAGCACGGTAGATAATAACCATAAATGTTTCATTTACTGTAAATATTTAATAATTATGAATGATTGATGACCAGATTTTTAAGCAAACTGATAGAGTTGTGTGAAATGAAGACTACCTTTGTATAATTTTCTAAGCTGTATTCTAAATATTAAATGGGCTTTGTTGTGCTATCAAGATGCATGCCTGGTTGGTATTTTCATTAAAAATATTAGCACATCGGTAACAAACAGAAAACCACACTTTTTATGGTCATATTGGCAATAAAATTAATCTGGATGGACTTCCTTGTGGATACAAGAATTTCTGTATCCGCCAATTTTCATTCCATTGTAAGGCATGCCTTCTTTATGGATTATTTTAAAGATGTTTTTTTCAAGAGAATGTGTTTTTTATAACACAGCACTAATAGCTGGCTGTGTTTCAGTGACTACTTTCACCTATTTTGCTTTCAATTTTTTCTAATTGCCTTTGATCTCCCTGGGGCTTTGAAGCCCCCCAAAACCCTATATAATGCTTATCTAATTATCAGGGCTCTTGCATCTCTGAAAGATTTCATTAACAATGCTGCCTTCTGATTCATGCAACTAGTTGAGGGTCTGCGTACCTCTCCCGCAGACGTTTTTGGTTGTCTCACAGTCAGTGAAGAATGACTTTGCCAATAGGTGCCACTGTTGCTCTACACACACGCCTGAATCGTCCATGTCCTTCAGTTGAAAATCCGACCATGAAAAAGCAAACCTAAATCACAGTGACTAAAATGTTGCAGGGGTAAAACTCTGTACAGACCATGGCCAGAGGCTTGTCCATGCCAAGACTAAAGTATATGCTTTATCTTGTTCCTAGAAATAATTATATTATTGCTAATCTTGAGCAAAATTGTTTAAGAGATAAATATGTATTGAATTAATTCCAGATATATTTAATCTAAGCCTTTAACTTGCTGCAAGTTTATTGTTGAGCCTCAGACCAATAGCAGCTGAACCTTCTAAATATCTCCTCTGAACCAAATGTGATTTAAATACAGGAGTTGCACATCAGTGCAATAAGAATTTGGACTTCTGTCAGCATTTTTTACATAGGTCATTCACATACTTTCTCAACCAAGTAAAGGATCGGGGTGGCCTATCCAGCAGTATAAAGGCCACCTACAACTATTTCTTCTAGGTTTACTGTTTGGTAATGTAAGGTCAACTAATGTAGTTCACTTTGCAGCTTATCTACCATTAAGTGCCATTCAATATGTAAAGCCAAGGGCAATCAAGGTCTGCTTGCTTACTGCATTGGGATAAACCTTGGTTCACCTTGTCCTTAGGTATGCAGCCATTTCATAGGTTTACTTTATTCTTGGATGTTTCAGACACATTATGGAATAACACAAGTTTCTTTTCTACTCTTTCGTTGAAGAAATTATAGCAAGCTGTGTAAAAATGAAAAAAAAAAAAGCTAAGGACAAAGCAATTAAGAGATTTATATCCTTTCAGGTTCAGTCCCATTCTGTTTTTTTTTTCCTTCCTGCAACTGTTCATTAACCAGAAACCAACAGATGAAAATTTTGTTTCCAGTGATTTAATATCTTCTGAAATATTCCCAGCCATCTGCAGATCAGCATGTAACCCAGCAACTTGTTCTAACTAGTAGACAGCCCTCCACATTTATAACCTAATTCTCATTCCTTCTGCATGGAACAGATCACTCTTACGTACATGAGCAACAAGCTATATTAAGTAGTACTTAAGACCACCCTAAGCAGTTTACACGGAGGTGTCCCTTGCTTTTCTGTCTCTCACCAGTTGGCTGATGGCTTGCAGGTATTTCTGACCCCCTTCATAATCCAGGATTCTACTAACATTTTGGGGAAGACATCCCTGGTTGAAAGGGAGATCATGAGTTTTAGCTGGTTGTCTCAGTTGACAAGTAGCAAAAGCAGAAATCGGTGGGCTTTCATAGGAAATGGTGTAGACACTGTTCATCACTCCATCTTCTTTCTCGTGCCATTTTTTCATCAGGTGCTCAAGAAGGCCATAGTTGGTAGGTGGTTCTGAGACAAGAAATGATTAAATGTTAGAAATGATAGAATTAAATTTTGGGTTCTGGTGTTTTTACTCCACAATTGTCATAGGGAATATTTGTACTATTTTGACAGCAGATTAAGGACAAAACAGATCTTTTTGTTCCCAGAGCATGTGTGTCTACCCTCTGGCTGGAAGGGAAAATCACTGTTAGATATCAATAGGACAGCAGTAACAGTATAAATTTAAAGAGTCCTGATTCTTCATAGTCTCTCTGGTAGATATTAAAAAAGTTATAAGAGCTGTACATGTCGCTTAAATTCAGAAACATAATAATACTCCTGCTAGTTGTATCTCACAGCTCTCCTTGTTTTCAGCTGGTGTCTTGCATTATTGCATAGGGGAGAGAAATCTGTTTATTGGCACTATCCTTCACTGCTTCCTGTGGTGATTAAGTATTATTGTATAGATAACATTTCCACTTTATCAATCTGAAGAATAAGCTACTGACTGGGTAAGACACAGTCAAAAGTCACCACAAAATCCATTTTCAGAATTAAAACAGAAGGAGGTTCCTGGCTGTAAGTCTATATATTGACAACTGCACCATGTTCCATCTGATTGAAATAATAACGCCAAAACCTACCAAGAATGGGGAAATCTGATTTCTGAGAAATCCAGGCAAACTTGCGTCCATTCCAGCTGCGGAGGGGAGGCAGCACAGGGTTGTAACCATGTCTATTGTATTTATCGTCATACTCCGATACCAAATTTCGGCTTCTTGGTTCCTCATGATGGGTGAAGAAGTGCTGCATTGGCAGGCCCTGAAATGAGAATTAAATGAGAAATGAAACCATGCTACTTGTCTTTGAACATAGCATTCAGACGGCTTAGCATGCTTTTGAGTCAGACTGTACTGCCAATGATATGACAATATTTTGTCAGTACTTACATTACTTTTACTTATAATTTAAGCCCTGAAAGTAAAGGCATTTGCATTTCAAGTAAAGTAGATGTCCAGTTAAATTAAGCAACTACATTTGTATGTCATGAGATCTGATTAGTCTGGTTTCAACTCATGCATCAGGGATTTGCAGATACATTTAAGAAGCCTTCAAATGAAAAGCTGATTGTCTTGTGCTGCTTAAGTGTTTCATTGTGCACTAGCATTACATATACTACCTTCTAACTGTCTGTCAGGAGAGAATGACAAGAATATTTGGGGGTGGAGAGGCACCTTGGACGAAGGGACATTCTAGCAGATGATACTTGTGGGAAAAGTATTGTTGTGAAAGATCTGGGACGCATTTAAATGCAGTTCGTTCCTATGAATTGGAGGTGTGCTGGTGAAAATAATCCTCTTTTACTGGCAAGCTCATATTATAGCCCACAGAATGTCCTGAAGATGCAATACCCAGTGCTAGCTGATAGTAACATGCTGATTTTCTTCATGTGCCCTGGTCACCCACCGAAGCAGAGACTCGGAAACAACCAGAGAGTACCAGGAAGTATGTGCTGTTTGTCTACCTCTGAAAGGCATCCTACTTTAATCAAACATATGAGGGAGCTCTGGATCCTGTAAATTTGCCACGGAGCTGCAGTGCCTTCTTTTACGTATATAGTTGTTTAAGGATATTAAATATGATTTAAGTATTAGTCAAAGATCATCACTGTTTGGAATGTTGGCACACACAGCCCCACCTTTGAAACTTCTTTTACTTACCTCAAATTTTTCCATCATGGTTCTCCTTAGTGTTTGGTCTGGTTTGTGATCTGGGAAGCAAACGAAGTCTGTTCTGTATACACTGCTGCCGAGTTTCCCAGTGTCTTTTATAAACTAGAGAGATACATACAACACTCAGTATAGCTAAGGCAATCTGATCGTTACAGAAGCTCTGTTCCAGTGCTGCTTTCTTCATCTATGCATTTAAAAAGCACTTATTTGGAAAGAAGTCTGTGCTATGGTACTTTTTCTCAGATGGTAAAGTCAGCTGGCATAATCAGCCATTATAAAATTCTGGATTGATTCCTTGGTGTAAATACAAGATACCATACAGCCCCTGAAAAATTATTCATGGTTTGGTGTTTAATACTTTTACCTGCCATGTGAACTAGCATCTGAAAAGGACAAACAAACTTTTTTTTTTTTGGTCCCTTTGTTCCTAATTCTGCTGCAGCAGGCCAGTCTCTGCAATATAGTCTAGCATTTTGCTCCAGAAAAAAAAAAAACATCTAAAGGAAGTAATTTTAGTGGAGTCAGGAGGATTTGCCCTAACAGCTCCAATATTGAACCTAACAGGCATGTTTTGACAAAGTTAAATGTCTCATGATAAAATCTTGCTCAGCCCTTAAGCAGGGCATGCAATCTATCGAGCAGCTCTCCTAGCAAAGATCCTCTTGTTTATACAAGTAAAGAAACCAATATCCAAATCATTAAAGATCCTCTGATACAAGTAATAATAAGTATTTAATTTATGGAAGGATTAGTGAAGCCTCTCTTGTATAATGTTGGTTTATATTATTAAGTTGTATATGTTGTTGTTGTATAGTTCGTTGTATGGAAGTTGTATAGCAGTCTGAAGGGATTGCCATAAAAAGTGCTATAGCATTTTTAATTGGCTAATATGATGTCCGGTGTGAAACATACAATGTAACACATGCTCAGGCATTGCTTCTGTCCTGGCTTAGAGAGAAGAATGGCCAATCATTAACAAAATGAATGGATGCAGGCCAAGCAAGATGCTTATCCTTCTCCCTTTTATCACGCTTCTGAGATGAACCTCAATCTAGCTTATGACTGAAGTAGTATTCTACCTCCACAGCATTGGTTCTGACCCACTCTATTCCTGCTCTCACACTTCTTTCCTGATCTTACCTCTTTCCTCTCTTCCAGCCAGTTTCCAATGAGAACTTTAGCAGAGTATTTGGGTTCAATTTTCCACCAATCCTGTCCATCTTTTTGTGACGCCATCATATTTCTTTGTCTCACCAGCACGCCCCTCCCTGGTTGTTGGAACTGTCCTTCAAGTTACATGGGTGAAAGATTACTCAGTTGTCCAGTGCTAAAACTAAGGCAGAAAGGGGCTCCACTTCTGCCTGCCTGTGTGCTGAGAAACATGGGTGATGTGGGGAACTGCTTGGCCGTAGAACCATTTCTTTGCTATCCCCATGGTGACCGTTGTTCCAGTAACCACATTCTAGGCTGCATCATATTTAGTGTTGAGCAACACAGTGGCTCCTAACCCACTAAAGTCAGTTGGGTGTTTTTCTCTAACTGTTAAGAGTTCAGAATCAGAGCACAGTTATGTCTCAAAACATTGTGATAGAAGTGATGTATTCCTCTATACCAACACACCACACATATCTGTGCGACACACAATCTCTCTTCATAGACAGACACATTTTATTTTAAACAAGTGGGGCAAACCAGGATGTCCATTCAAAATAATGTTCTTCTTTATTGACACAGGTAAAGATAAGGGCTTGCAGCATGGTACAAGCTTGTATAAGGTTTGCATATTCCACGTTCCAACTAACAGCTGGAATGAGGTTCTGATGAGCCTTGTTTATCATTGTTAATGTCTGCCCTTGACTGACTACCCATCACCTGATATTAAATATCCTAAAAAGATATTTTCCTAGGTTGAGGCATGAACAGACTCGTGGAATCTAAGGTGTATACTATAAGCTTTTTAGGAAGTTAACAACACTGTCCAATCCCCTTTTCCCAGCTGGAAATGAGAAACCGCAATAATCATATAGGCTTATGATTCCGTGGAATCCATCCTCGAGGTGGTACCAGGTCACTCGAACACCGTTGTCCTCCAATCTCTTCTTGTAAAGCAAGCCGTCGTCCCTCAGCACATCATACTCACAGGTCAAGATGAAAGACTCGGGCAGCTGGTGAACAATAGCATCTTCGGCTAACAGCGGACACAGGTTGGGCTCACAGAATCTTTTCACTGTCTCATAAACTTCAGCTATAAAATCAGTGGGCCTAAGCGGCTTCACACCTCTGACCTTAAATTTTTCGGGGATGTTATCTGGACTCACCCACTTCCTGTACTTCAGCCTCATATCTGGAGGAATATGAGAGCCCTCCAAGACCTCTTGCATATGCAGCGCATCCCCATTTAAGTACTGCAAAGCAAAGAAAGCGGCACGTTCTCGGAATAAGAGAGGGACTCCCCGATTCTGCTGATAGGATGGTAAATTGAAGTCCAGTGCCTGAAGGCCTGGGTAGATCAAGATCTGAGCCCGTAGTTTGGGGAGGTCTGATCTACCTGCAAGGGTCTGGCTAACAGCAGCTGCTAGATTGCCCCCAGCACTGTCCCCGCAGACAATTACATTGGCGGGATCCACGCCATAGAGCTCTATATTCTTCATAAAGTGTATGGTGGCATTAAGACAGTCTTCATACGCAGCAGGGTATTTGTGTTCAGGAGCTAAACGATACCTAGTACACAGAAAGAGACAAGTATAAGAGAAGGAAATGTCATTAGTATTAATCAGGAAATGGTATCCTATGCTGTCTTCCAGCACTATCATTTCCTCTAGGTTAGGATATTCATTACCTCCTAAGCAGGCATTCCTCAGTTAGTGATTGTGGATAAGCTGTAAATTGTGTATTGAGTCACAAGGACTCAGTAAAGTAGCATTGTCTTCTGGTTAAGAGTCTGACTGAGACTTTGTACATTTCTTAGTCATGCTGAAAACTCCCTGTGTATTCTTGACAAGATAATTTAATAATTTTGTGCCTCTGCTTCCTATGTGTAAAATGGGAGTAATACTGTGTGATTATTCTCTCTTTTTCTATAAATCACAATTCTTTGGAGCATCATGTAATAACATGTTCATATGTTCAGCACAAGGAAGACTTTTTTTACTTAAGTTTTTGATTGGCTTTTATAGATTTTCTTAGTGTGCCAAATATTTCCACTTGGGTCTTTTTGAGTATAACAGGGCATGAACAGTTAAGAGCTATGAAATCTCCATTAACACTATTTGTCTCTTTATGGGCTTCACTGAATTCTTTAGAAATTTCTCTGCAAAAAAGAACATCTCCAAAACCAGTGCAGCTTTTCTGTGGCACCACAGCAACAATAATCTCCAAACAACAGAACTGGGTAGGATTCACTTACTGAACAGATACAACTACCGATTCACTTTCTCTGGATATGTAGCGGCATACTTTTTCATAGGTATCTGGAAAAGAAATATTTTCATTAGTGGTTTGCTATTGCCCTGATCTTTGAGATAGCTAAGGAATGTTCATTCCAGAAAGGCATGTATTTGTCTTCAGACCTCCTCCCAAATCACATGCTGGAACCTCCTCTTATTTCAGTTTTATAAAAAGATGAGAATGTTCTTTCTACATTACTATTACTCCTCCAGCAAATATCTTACCAAGACTTCCAAATACCCAGCCTCCTCCATGAAAGAAGATGATACCTCTCCTTCGCCCATCAGAGGTAGCTTTAGGCTGATAAACCCTCACAGGTACTTTGTTAAACTGCAAATCCTGGATGAAGAGCTTTGGATCCACCCCTAGTTTCCGTCCCTGTCGCACATATCGGCCAAAAGTGATTTGACTGCAAAGTCCAGTCTTCTCCAAAATCTTTCCCTGTTAGAGGTAAAAGAAATTAAGGCTTCTTTAAAAGTCTTGAGTTAGCTGAGGTCTAAAAACTCTGCATCATACTTACATTGAACTGTGTTTGAGGGAAATTTTAAAGAAACACAGAGCTTACCAAAAAAAAAAAAAAAAAAAAGTGGTAGTGTTGTAAAATATGAATACGCCATATGAAGATATAATAATAACAGCCCAAATAGTTAGAGTAACTACCGTGAGGACTGTTCATAGAGGAGGATAATGGCTATGCAAGTGTCTCCCAAAGACTCTCTGAATGGTTTCCTCTATACTGAGTACTGATAGGTGAGTTCGTTCTAATAGGTTGTTTAGTCCTTGGTTTTTGCCTTAATAAACCTGTGGAAAACAGTGAGGAAAAGTAACTTCACAGCTGGTTTTCTTGATAGGAATGCCCAGTCCTAAGAAAGAAAAGAAAGTCCTAAGTCTCCTAAGAGACATCCCAGGATAGAGTCAGAAAGCAGCATTTGTTTTAAGGTTGCCTAGATTAGTTTTACCAAGAAGGAGAAGTTCTACCTTCTATCATACCAGCTGGAATCTGAAGAATCAGACTGAAAAATCTAGGCTTTACACACAGCAATGTGACCCCTGTTGTCCGATAAAAAGAAAGCTCTCTGATTCAAGAAAACCAATTTTCCCATGTTCTCACATCCTACAGATTGTAAAAAATTTACTTCCATTACTCAAATCCAGTGTCATTCTAATAACACATCAGAAATTTTATATAGGCCATCCAAATTGGCTGTCTTGGAGTATACATTTTAATTGTCAGTAGTGTCCTGCGCACACTTTGTGCTCATTCTTGTTTCATTTATACTTGATAACAACAATGAAATGTCATATATAGAAACAGCAATATAAGCTTTAATGGTTCTTCATTGCATAAACTAATATTCCTGAATTAGATCATAAAACTCAGTGAATTTGCAAACCTTAAGTGCTGAGTTGTGTTGTGCAAGTTAGTTACTGCTTTTTATTTGCACAACAGATTTACTGAGCAAAATCAAGAAGCTTCCTTTCCCAATGCTCTTGCAGTGATCTTGCAAGCTAGAATATAAATGTGATGTAGTAAATGAACAAGCAAGAAGTTGGGAACCAAATTAATGGAATTAAACAAATAAACTGTTACAGTTGCATTACTAAACAAGATCCCAATTTTAAATGCCCAGTGGGGGTCTGTCTTTATCCATTCCTTTGCTGTCATGTGCTAGTGGGATCCAGGAGAGCTAGGTAGCTTTGCCAGTAAATTTCAAGAGGATGTCAATGGCGTAAGAAACTGTGTGGAGGAAAACAAACAAGGTCTGTGTGATAGCAAATGCGACATTGTGGCTAAAGGAGTGAAGGAGAAAACTGAAGATTTAAAAAAATTAAAAGATACGGCAAGTAACATAGGAAGAGTTTAGGAGAGCTCTAATGCTGTTTATGCAATGCTGTAAAAGGGAGCCCAGGGATTAAGTAAAGCAGCCCTAACCGGATTTTGTACCATAAACGTCAACCATGGCAGGAGCAGTTGAAGGGCTGTAGTTTTCTTTGTGCAAGGTGACTTCGCCTAAAGCTGAGGGCAGTTATCAGCCAAAACACCAGCTCAGCTCCGAATTCGACACTTAAATCAGCACCGCCGTTTGGCAATCTCTGCTAACAAGCCCTAGCATGCTACTTCTGAACGTGAAATGGGTTTTGCCCACGACGCGAGCAGCGAGCGGCCTCATTGAGGGTGCTCCCCCGCAGCTCTCTCCCCACGATGTGGAGCCGCAAGCATCCCATGAGGGCGGCAGGGGCATGCGGATCTTAATCCCGGCTCTTTTTTTTTGGGGGGGGGGGGGGG